CTGCTTTAAACACGATGTCCGTGGTTTTTAATAAATCTGCTTTAAACGACCAGTCTGACCAGAACGTGCGTGAGGCTGCGGAGAGTTATTCATTATTGTGTAGTTCGTTCCTGGAGGCGCTTCAAGCAAGAAACCTTTTAAATGTGTGATATTATGAGTGAAGTCCGGAGGATGAACCAGAATCATCCTTTTGTTTCCGAGCGTCAGAAAAAATAAACCAATATTCACATCTATTAATTATTCAGTAATTACAGATACTTTATGTAAATAATTGAAGTTTGTGTTCTGAGAGAAGTTCAGTCAAACAGCAGCTGGTTTCACAGTTTATATGAAACATGCACAGTTTCAGTTTAAAGAAAAATCCCTTAGTCCCCGGGACCAGGTCTGACCTGAGGACCAGGACTGGATCAAACCTGAGGGCCGGGACTGGGTCAGACCTGAGGACAGGGACTGGGTCAGACCTGAGGACCAGGACTGGGTCAGACCTGAGGACCGGGACTGGGACAGACCTGAGGACAGGGACTGGGTTAGACCTGAGGACAGGGACTGGGTTAGACCTGAGGACCGGGACTGGGACAGACCTGAGGACCAGGACTGGGTCAGACCTGAGGACTGGGACAGAGATCAGGCTGTTAATCTTGATCTCAGGATTAGTTAGTCTGAGATCAGGTTTACAGACGGCTGAAGTTTCATCAACTGATTCAATCGATTCAGTTCCGTCCTCTGTGGACTATCTATCTATCCATCCATCCATCATCTTTACCCGCTTCTTCCATTTTTTTGGGTCACGGGGGTCGCCGGTACCCATATTCCAGCAATCACTGTGCGAGGGGCGGGGGACACCCTGGACTGGTTGCAAGTCCATCACGGGGACACATAGAGACAAACGAGACAAACAACCACTCTCTCTCTCAAATAGAGTTACCAATCAGACTAACATCTTGTTTTTGGTCTGTGGGAGGAAACCGGAGTACCCAGAGAAAACCCACACATGCACGAGAAGAACATGCAAACTCCACACAGAAAGACCCCTGGTCCAATTAGGGGCTGAACCCAGGACCAGGGACTGAACCCAGGACCAGGGACTGAACCCAGGACCAATGTTCCCTTTAAGCTCTGCACCTGCGCAATCGCGCACTGCTCGCACATTCTCTGCGCAGAAGAAAATCTATGCTGTGCAGTTGAAGTGGCCACAAGGTAACCTCCCGCTGTATCATAAAGTGTCAGCCGGAGCGCAGCGGTCTGTGCAGTGCAGCCCCTGATGCGGACTGGAGGACGAAAACCACACCTCCGGTCAAACACCCCTGTGTCACGTGATGTGTATCCAGCCAATCAGCGTCTTCTGGACTTTCAGCGCTGACGTGCAAACAGTTCAAAGAAACTACGTAGCTACAAGCAACCTTGACTTCTAGCTCTTTTCCAAGCTTGTTACTGCATATTACTTGGCATACCGAGGAATAATATTTTACTTTGTGGATTTATCACAGAAGTTTACGCTCGTAGGACGTCAAACAAAGGCGGCAAGTTAATCCCATGACTTTTAGACATTTTTATCATGCTAAGTGTTAGCAAACAGTGCTCGGTGTAAACCTGGATGGTCAAAGGAAAAGTTTACAAGACAGTGGTGAGAGCAGCTCTGTTGTCTGGTCTGGAGACAGAGACATGGACAAAAAGACAGGAGACAGAACTGGAAGTGGCAGAAATAAAGATGAGGTTCTCCTTAGGAGAGACAAGGATGGAGACATGTCCAGAGGAGGGACAGTGGTGTGGAAATGTCCAGAGGAGGGACAGTGGTTTGGACATGTCCAGAGGAGGGACA